ACCCCTCCCACCCCTCGCGTCGCGTGCCGAGGCCTCGCGCGGCCCTGGGAGCCTGACTTGCGGCCGCACGCGCACCGCCGATGAGCACGCGCCAAAGGCAGCGCCGAAGCCCGCGCCCTCCCGACTTCCCACGACCTCCCGCTGATCCCCAGAGTACCGCCGCGCCGCCAACCGCGCCGCGAACAACGGGCGCGAGCGCAAGGACCTGTACACCGACAACTGGGACGGCTCGGAGTACAAAGGCAGCAGCTTCAACATCTTGGTGGGCGGCCCACCCCACCCCGCCGTCCGCGCCGCTGCCGAAGGTTGCAGGCGACGAAGGCAGCAGCGGCGGCGGCTGTTCGCGGCAGCTGGCTGCGGCCGGCGCTGCTGTGGCCAAGGCGGGCGCTGTGGCCGCACGCTGCAGCAGCGGCTTGGGCGTGAGGGCGCACTGCTGCTACGCTTGCTGCTGCCGCCAGCCTCAGCGCCGCCATGACTACCCAAATCTACCGTGTCAGCACTCACCCCTCATTGCCTGCGCCCCACCACCCTCGCGTCACAGCCCAGTCCTCACCCTGTGGTAAATTTCGCCCGGCCTCCCCCCTCCTTTGCAGACGCTGCTGGCGGCGCTGTTCGTGCTGACCCCCGTGGCTGGCCTCGTGTTTGCCAAGCTGACATACGGGACACTCTGGGGCTGACAATTTGCGGAGCGCAGCAGGCGCTGTTTTTGGGTACGAATGGAGCGCTTCTTGGGAGGAGAGCTGGTGTGTGATCCGCCAGGCGCCGGCGAGGCAGGGCTGCCGTCGCGAGTGACTTTTGCAGATAAAGACTATCCTGGTTCATTGCGTCCGATGCTGTCGTGTTGTTTGTATGAGGGGCGCTGGGGAGGTCCCTTGGCCGCCGGGCCGCAGCCGAGCTGCTTGGTTGTCCTGCCCTCTCTGTGTTTGAGACCGCCCCATCGCCACCCTCCGGGAACGAGATGCGCGCGCCGCCGTGCGCAGTGAGCGCCATGCGCAGCCGATGCGGCGTCAGGTTTGGTGCTTTGCAGGAAGGAACACGCAGCATCATACGTCAGACACACAGATATGCTGCATGGATAGGGAGCACAAGCCGCGCAGCTTGCCGGTGCAGTCGGCGTCGCAATGTGCTGGCGCTGAACAGAAATATTGCGAGTGTAAACGACAGGAATATTGTGGTTCAGCTTGAGCTGCAGTTGGGATGCCCCAGTGGGGTGAGGGCCATGACGTGTTTTCGTGATGTCTCGGGTGGAAGTGCATCGCTCATCATGCGGCGCAGGCGCACGGCCTGGCAAGAGCGCAATGCAGGCACGTGCTGGGTGTACCGGCATACGCGCCTCAACGAGCCTCTTGTTTCCGCGTGTGGCTGTGGGCAGCACAGGCGTCACCAGCCTTGCGCCGTCCCCACCTACAAGTCTAGGGTGAGCTGACGGCGGCCATCAACATTACCAGCACCCAAGCGACATACACGCAAGCTTTGCGGGTGGCGATAATCTTTGCCAAGCAGCAGCTGGCGGTCGAGGTAAATTGGCCCTGCTTACACATGCTGGCCAACGACCTCGCCAGCATGTGGGCCGCTTTTTTCGACAGCACCTGAATCTCCGGCTGGGTAACACGATCGCGGTGTACAGCCTTACCCGAGGTACTGCTGCATCGAAGTCTGCTATTTTCTCTTTTTTGGTACCCCATGTATGCTCAGCTCGTCCGCAAGGTCGCAAAAACAGGTGTCGTCATGGTCCCAAACGGCCATTTGGCCCAGGATCACGATGACAGAACTGAATAAATAAACTGTAAAACCAAAACTATCAGCGGAACCGTCCGCTTGCCCCTGACGATGTCGTTAGCACCTTTCGAGCTTTCGCAACTCAGGCCTCTTATCACTCTCGAAGCGCTGTCAAATAGTTTGTGAGGTCAATTCAAACTAATTTCTATCTACGACCGACACATATGCCCAGCCCTGAGATCGTGAACGCTCGCGTCGGGTCTTGTGGGGGCTTCGGACCCTGCCCAGCAGCTCCCGCAACTTTAAAATGTATTGATACGTGCGTGGGTCCGGCCATAGACCGAGCCTGCGCTGCCCCGAGAGCCCCCGTGTCTCCCGGGATGGGCCAGGACCTCGTCCCCAGCGAGCCTGAGCGCAGCCATGCGGTCGACTTGGAGCTCTTGGCTCTCTCCCGCATGGCGGAGCGGCTGCGGGCGCGACTCAGCCCGGAAGGTGCGCGGGACGACGGCGTCACAGCCCCCGGCGCCGAGGGCGCACAGCACGCCGGGGCCACAGGACAGCAGCGTGTGCATGGCAAGGCCTCTGGTCCACGCGCTTCGCCCTGATCTCTGGCGGGCCGGCAGCCTGAAACCCGTGAGTGCCTGACTGCCCCCCCCCCAAAACCCCTGCACCCGCAGCGGGTGGTGCTTGTGGCGCATCCGCAAGCCCTGAATTATGCGGCGAGGCGGCCAACTGCGGTATGACGGGCATCGGCGCCACCAGCAGCGCCAGCAGTGTCCAGGGGGTGTGCTCGTCACCGAACGACGTGTGCTGCTGCAGCTGCTGCGCCGGCTCGGGCCGCAAGCGCGCCGCCTCCTGGGGCCGCGTCACCGGCGACGCGGGGCCCGGGTGGGGCGGCAGCTGCGCAGGCACCGCCGCGTGCGATGGCGGCGCGGCCAAGCGGCAGCGGCAACAAGAGCAGGAAATGCCCCCGCCAGCCCCCCGCCCCGCCGCGCAGAGGCAGCCGTGCGGCGGCTCGGCGAGCATGAGGCCGCCGCCGCCGCGGCCGCGCGCTGCCGCCTGCGATGGTGCTCCCGCCGCCGCATCACCTGGCCCCGCCGCGCCGCCGGCGCCGCCGGCGCAGCGCGCCTCGCCGCCCTCGGGGCTGTGGCAGGGGCCCCTGGTGCACCGCCGCGGCGGCCGCACGGCGCACCTCTGCACCCTGGCAGTGCAGCTTCCCGCCAGCTACCTCGACCGCCTCCCGCCCGCGCTCCACGCCGCCCAGCTCGCCCACCGCCGCTCCGTCCCGCTGGGCCGGCACGTCGTGTGTCGCTGCGCGCTGCTGCCCGGCGCAGCCGAGCGCCAGCTGTCTGCAATCGCCGCGATGGCGCGCGCCCAGCTCGTGGCTGTGGTGCCGCTGCGCCTGTCGCAGCTGGTGGTGGTGCCCTACCTCGACAGCCGCGGCTGCGCGCGCATGGTGGCGTTCCTTCGCGTGTTTGGCGGCGCCTGAGACTGTCGCCGCCCGCGCCATCCTATTGGATGCGCGGCCCGGCGGGCGGCGACCCCCGCAGTGCTCGCGAGGCCTATACTCTTGCTGCTGCTTGTGGCCGCAGACTGCTGAGGGCACGCGTGACCCGCGGTCGCGCTTGCCCGCGCCCGTATGATTTGGCTTGAGGCACCCTGGCGTACGGAGCACATACATTGCATCCCGGATTTCGCCTCTGCAGCCTTGTTCTGCCACGTGCCAGGCAAACCTCGGAGCATCCCCCCGCCCCCGCACAGCCTGAACCTCTCCCCGCCAGCACCGCCTGCTACCCGGCCCCCACATGCGTGCGCGCACGCGCCCGCGCCGCCCTGGCGTGGCCCGCCCATTGACGGCCGCGCCGGGGCGCGCGAACGGCACCGCGCACGCGCCCATTGGTCAACATGCCCGCCGCATTGGATTACGGTCTGCCCTTGTTTAGTGGGGGGCACATGCGCAGTCCCCTGCACTCGCCTCGCAGTCGCCCCGCAGTCGCCCGCCCAAATCCCACCGATGCCGGCGCGTTGCGGGGTGCGGCCGCGCGCGCCTGTGGCTCCCGCCTCTGGTTGCCAGCGGGGCCGCCGCGCGCACCCGCTCGCCCCTGTTTCGCATTTCCTGCGGCTTTGACCGGCTTTAACCGGCACGACTTTGGTTTGATTTCCAGAAGCGCAAGGAAAGGCTTGTTGAAGGGCAGTGGCGGCGGCCGCCAACACATCAACTCCCGCACCCGCCCCGCACAGCCCTGGCAATTGTGTTTTTTTCTCGCGCAGCTAAGTGCTCGCACTCGCAGCGGCTTCTTATATGACCCCCTAGCTGAAACGCCACCATGATTTTTTCAGGCACCGGCCCCGCGCAGGCTTTGCGCCGCGGCGCCCCAGCGCCGCAAGCGCCGGGCCCTGGCCGATTGCGAAGCCAAACAGTACTCATGCGTGCCTTGCGCGCCATAGCCAGCGCAGTGCGCGCCATAGCCAGTTCCCACCGCGAACGCCCGCACGTGCGCGTCCGACGCCTGGGGGTGCATGCAGGCCTCAGATCACAGCCTCCCCAGCCCCCACGCGCCCCTCTGGATCTCTCTGCCCCTCTGCGCCGCACTGCCCGCACGCCCGATACCGGCGCCCCGCCAAAGCCACCGAAGCGTTACGCCACACTCCCCTTCGTTGTGCGAGCACGGTGCCGTGCGCCCCAGGTGCCCGTGCCATCACCAGCAGACCGACGCGGCATCTTTCAACGCGTCTAGAAGCGGCAACGGCCGCAAGTGCTTCCTCTCGCCGCCCCATCACCCGCGGCTTTGACTTCCTTCGTCGCCCCGGCCAGAGTTTGTGCCCTCTGCTGAGCCGCCCAATGCTCCCGCGCGGCGCGCGCCGCCGGACTCGGGCGCAAAGCTGGGGGCATCGTACCCCCCGACACCCGTCCATTGGCGCCTGACAGCGGGTTAGCCTCGGGCCCTGGTCCCCTTTGAACTTCCACTCACGCCGCACTTGTCGCCCTTGCCGCCGCCCCTGACAGCTGTCGCCCAAGCGCAGCTCTGGTTTCATTGCGCTGCCTACCCAAATTCCCCCGCCCAATCAGCAGGGTTGCTTCCTGCCCCCGCACGCCCTCACCTACCCATGTTTGCAGAACGCCGCATGCATGCGCGTCGCGCGGGCACCTGTGCACGCGGCGACCTGCGCGTGCCGCACGCCCTGCCGGTTGCCGGGTCACGCCCGCGCCGCGCGCCCCCCGCCTGGCCCAAGGGTTGCAGCACGAGCAGGCCCCGGAGTCCTTCCAACCCTGCGTGCATGCGTCTAATCATCCGCAGTCTCCTATAATCCTCTTGGCGTGATTCGCACGCCCCAGCACATCTTACGCAGCTGCAGTGCGCTCCGATCCCCAGCCCCAGCCCACTTGCTGCGGGAGCCTCTGTCGCGAGACCCCAGGTGGCCGTCGTGCTTTGCCTGTGGGCAGCACACCAACAGCGGTGCTCCTCCCCCGCCCATGCAATGAGGAGGCCCTGAAACTCTGAAAGCGAACTTCCTGGTCTGCACTTGCTCGTTGTTTTGGGGCGGCGGGCGGCGGCAAACGACGCGCGCCCCCGCCCCCTGTCTCAGGTTGCGCATTGGCCCTGACTCGCCACACTTGAGACCATACGCAGCACTTGACACCACACGCAGAATCGCCAGCACGCATGCATCTCCGTTGGAGCTGTGACGCGGCGACACGACGCCGGATTGAATTGGATGGGACGGCGTCGAAAAACTGAGCTGCCTCAACTGTGTGGCTGCTGTGGGGCGCGTTCTCCGCGCCCGCTTCTGCGCGCCGCGGGGTACACCGGACCATTTTCGCTGATTTTGATGTTGAAACACTCTTGTGAAGCTGCGTGTGGTGATGAACGATCTCCACGCTGCCCGCGCAGGCTGGAGGCTGCGCCCATCGGCCCCTGCCAATGCTGCGGGCTTCGCTCAGCGTGCCGCCCGCCGCTTGCTGACGTTGCAGGCGGTCTTGGGGCTCGTTGATGCATAGCAGTTGGATTATGTTGTAACACGAACGCCAGTCATGCGGGGGAGAGGATCGCAGCCGGCTCGCTGCCTGGATTGACTGCGCCTAGCGCGCCCTGCTCGGAGGTCACCGTGGTCCCGCTGCTTAGGGTTTTGGGTTTAGGGAACCCTCTTACTTGCTTGCGGGGTCCCCCAGCCGGCCTGTCCCCTGCACCCA